CCCCTCCTCGTGAACCAAACACTCGTGACAACTATGTCGAGGGCAAACCCCGACATAAGAACAACAATGAAAATGTAATAACAATGAAAGACAGAGATGCTATTTTTCTACAAGATAAAAATTCATGAAAACTTACTGTTGCCCAGGATCTACTTGTTTTTTTATATCAGAAAATGTTTTATGAAAACTCCTAGAATCAATATGCCTTTAAAAACGAACTAACAAGAGAACAAACAAGATGGCAGATCAGGTAGCAGTGCAGTGAGGAACTCTGTCAGCAACAACACAGAATACTGGACCAAGCAGGCTCAGGGGATGGTGCCACATATAAAGAAATATTTAAAAGGTTGGAAGGCTTACAGCTAGGAGAATTTGTTGCAGAAGCAAGAAATCCACTGCTTTCTAATCCAAGACGCTCAGCTACTCCTGAAGCCACCATCTTGGATGAGACCAAGCAGGGGAAGGATCAGAGCACCCACAGATATGTGACAGAACTGTGGAGATAAAGGTGCGGACACTCTTTTTTTTTTTTTTTGTATCTGTTCATTGGTCTCTTGCTGTCTGTGCAACTCTATTCTAGTGACTAGAGGGGATGCCTGAGCAAGTGGATACCCCACCCCTGACCCTGGAAGGATCTACTATGCATGCACACAGATCTCCTCAAAATTTAAAGTGACAGTTTCCACTTAAAACCAAACGGCAGTGCAAAATGGCCACAACCATCCCTGAACTGCTTATCTGTTTATCACTGGGGAAAAGGCCTGAACAGGCAGACTAAAAAGGAAAATAGGCTGAAAATTAACTCCTGAATTACATCACAACAACCAACAGTGGCATCTTCAAATTTCTCAAGAAGAAGACTGAAAGGGGCAGCCCATCTCCTGATCACATCTACCTGGAGGCAATCAGAAAGCATAAAAAATAACAAAATACACACCTATCTAAGTATTAAAGCCACAGATAACTCCTGAATATACCAAAAAACAGAAACAGATGACCATATCAGCACATGTCCAGAAACGAGATAAAGTGATTGAGGCAAATAAGCTGGAAGTAGACCTACACTGGGCCAGGCTTTGGAAATGCCTGAAAAGGAATTCAGAAAAATGATTATAAAATGTATCAAAACACTATACAATGGAGTTGAGAAAAATAAGGAAGAAGTCAAGAAAGCACTACAGGAACAATCAAATAAGATAGATATACAGCATTGGAAACAATTTGAAACCTACAGAAAGAAGTCCAAATGGTTAATAATAGAATATCAGAAATGGACAATACACTGAAAGGGCAAAGGAGCAGAACTGAAGCCAGAACTCATGAACAAGAAGATAAATCTCTCAACACTACTAAGATAGAAGAGCAAGCACAAAAAGGATAAAAAAACTGAAGAAGGCCAAAGAACATGAAGAGGAATAACTTAATTATCAGCATTCCAGAACAGGAAGAATCACACAAGTCCACAGAGGAGATAGTTGAAGAGCTGCTGGAAAAAAATTTTTCTAGCATCCTGAAAAGCAAAAGGTAGGCATTCAAGAAGCTCAACGAACCCCAGGATGGAAAGACCCTAAAAGACAATCACCAAGACATATAATAATCAAGCTTTCCAAAACCAAAGATGAAGAGAGAATCCTGAAAGCAGCAGGGAAAAGAGAAATTGTAACATATGCAGGCAAACAAATCAGATTAAGCTCAGATTTCTCAGCAGTAACCACGCAGGCAAAAAGGCAATTTGGGGAGACATATATAAAATCCTGAAAGAAAAAAAAAAAAAAAACTGTCAACCAAGAATCCTCTACTCAGCAAAGCTATCAATCAAATATGAAGGTGTAATCAAAACATTCCAGGATAAACAGAAACTAAGGGATTCTGCCAAAGCCAACCCTGCTATGAAAAACATCCTAAAAGGGGTTCTGTGGACTGAGAACCAGCAAGAACAGACAACAGCCAGAGAATGACGTACATAGCAGCATCACCCTGAAGTCAACTGACAAATGAAAGAGTCAAGAACAGAATAAAATGATAAGAACAGAGTACATGGGAGGTCAGTCTATGATCAAAACAATTACAATGTGAAAGAAGGTAAACACACAGGAACAGAGATCCAGGTGGTGGGAAGGTCAGGTAGATTACAGGATAAAACAGACTGTCTTAAATGGAGGGCAGAATTATTGGAATATAAGGTAACCACAACAGTGGGGTTGGGGTTGGGGGTTTATTCAGGTGTTGGGGAGGGAAATACAAGAAGGGAAGCGGGTGGGAGGGAGAACAAGATAGCTAGGTGAACACTGTGACAGGTTTACATAGCCTAAGTGGGACAGAGGTAAATTGTGATACATGCTCAACCTTGGAACAACAGGGCTCTGTGATACAGGGATCTAGGCATAGTGTGAAGGGGGGAAATAATACTAAAACGCTTGACTGTCTTATGAATATTGGTTTGTTTACCTTGCCTACTATTGCAAAACAGACACTTGAGTGGGATAGAAAGGCATGTTGGAAACATGATTACAGAAAACTTGTAAGCCCATCTTCAGCCTATAACTGATTGTTGTTTTTCTTGTTATGTGCCATGGAGTCGATTCTGACTCATAGCGACCCTGTACAGGGTTTCCAATGCTGTAAATCTTTATGGGAGCAGAAAGCCTCATCTTTCTCCCACGGAACAGCTGATAGTTCCAAACTGCTGACCTTGCGGTTTGCAGCCCAATTCGTAACCACTACGCTACCGGAGTTCCTTTTTGGAATACCTAAAAGGGGTTCTGGTGTGGCACTGTGGGTTAATGCTCTAGACTGCAAAGTTGGTTTGAACTACAAAATTGGTGTTTCAAGCTCACCAGTTGTTCCTTGGAAACCCTCTACAGGGACTCTATGGTTCGGAAGCAACTCGACAGCACTTAACAACAACAACAAAAGGGGTTCTAGAACTTGCCCAGTGAAACAGGCCTCCTGCAAAGCCTTTGCAGAGTATAAGAAGTTAGGTAGAATCCTGAGTCCCATCCAGAATCTTATGAGGTGGAACATTCCCACTAGCAAGGACAAGCAGACCAGCCTGGAACAGCTAGATTTAACAGAAGATACATCTTCAAAGTAAGATCATCAGGAAAAACCCAAAACAAAAATGTCAGCATGATGGTAGTGTAACGTTAATGTAGATGTTTTTAAGTGTGAATGCAGAGCAACCCTGTATAGCGTTTCTGAGGAACACCAAGCTCATGGTTGGCAGTCCACTGCTTAGCCTACAGCTCCATACCAGGACTCCATTTCTGTAATAGGCATGTTATACACAAAAAGTACAAAAGTCAAGGTTTATTATCTCAAAAGTTAAAGAAATGGCAAATACTAAAAACTATTAAAAGTATGTAATATGAAAAGGCAGGCTCAATAAGTTCTTACCTGTATTCCATCTTTAAGTTTCAAAATGCATTCCATTGTATTAATAGTAATGACCACTGGTTCTGAACCCAATTTTGTCCATGGTACATGGATCCTCAATTCGTGAATATGTCCACTTAAAAAAGTGAACGGTAATTTCAGCTCCTTAAAAGATAAAATATTACATAAAAGATAAGTACTTAAATATGTTTTAATCCTAAAATTAAAATTCATTTCTTAAAGGAGAAGTAAAATTTCCAACCAAAAATAATGGGAATTATTAATCATATAAAAGGTAGCATCAAATAACTTGTTAAAGTACAGTTAATGATAAACTATAAAAGCCTATTTTATGAGTTATAGTTAACAAGCTATCTTATCTTTCCAGACATGCCTGATACAAGAAGGCTCATTAAGTGGTAGCAGTGGCAGTAGTAGGAGCAACAAGAGTAGACAGCGTTACCTGAGATACTTGCCTAAAAAAATATCCTCAAATGTGTCTTACAATAACACTTGAAGTAGGATTGAAAAGCAAGTGAGGAAAAGGGGGATGAACTGGAAATAGGAGAATGACATCACAAATTAAAAGCTAACCAACCTCAAAAAAGACAAAATTTTAAATGAGATATAAAATGAAAACATAATTATCACTATAATCACTTTATAGTAATTAGTTTCACTCTCAGATAAATGTTTAGCTAGAAATTAAAACAAGAAAAAATATATTTAGATATTTTTATATAAAAATATATTTAGATAAGTATTTTATAAAAAATATATTTAGATATGTGTTTCCATGTTTATACTATTATTATTAACTATTGGTGAAAGCTAATATAAAGAGTTTTTGCTTTTTCATTCATCCAAGTACTTTCTAGTTTATCAACATGGTAGCAATACAGCTAATTAGAGGCAGTATGACAAAGTGGTATAACACCAGTAACTCTGAAACGAGCCAAATGGATTCAAATCCTAGTATCTGATACTTACTAGATGAATGACACTGGCCAAGGTGATTAATGTTTCTGAACCTCAGTTTATTTAACTGTAAAATGTGTGATTCTTTTTAACCATACACCAAAAGAATTAATTTATATAAAGCTCTTGTTTATAAAGAAATCATTATAAAGATGCTATCTATTATAATTACAAATGTGTGTACCTAATTTATGTTTATAAACAGATTGTTTCTCTTAAGTCAGAATTGTAATTCTCTTAAGTCAGAATTCTATTATTCTAATAGAATAACGTATTTTAAATATTTCTCATTACTACATTAATTTTAAAAATACAGTAATTTTTCAGGCATTCATTAGTTTCCAAGATTATATACGGATCACTGTCTGTAACAAAGACATTTACTAAGCACTTACTGTTCTAAGCAATTTCTCTATAAATAATTATCTAATCCCCACAGAAACCTGAAAAGTTAAATACTATTATTATTCCAACTTTACAGATATAGAATCTGAGGCATGGAAAGCTCAACTCACTTCCCAAGATGATTCAAATAGGAAAGTTAAGATTTAAAATGATAAAATATGTACTGGCTATCAAAATAGCCACTATCAGAATAGGAGGAAGAAATGGAGCAGAGGGCTCACTGACTCCATGAACATGCCATGAGATCAGAACTGGATGATGCCCAGCTACTCTTACTGAAAATTTCTATCAAATATTCTACAGAAAAATCCTGGTCAAAAGGGAAAATAATGGAATTCTAAGAAGTTTGACAGAGTAGTTATACATATGATACACACAGACCTCTACAAGGGACACCAAACGAAACAAACCCTGATAATAATTCTGGAACTCTGAGCTTCAGAGAAAAGGTTAGAGAAGTGCAATGAATACTTAATGGGAGAAGAAGCTGAGTGGAGTGCGGGTGGTGAGCAAAAAGAGACTGGGGCACTGTCTCCTGGACAAACATGTGCAGTGATGTGGAACTTTTGCAGGCAGCTATGGAGATGGACTGCGTACTGGCAGCGCTTAGATTCACTGCATCAACTGGTGACACAAAAGTGTGACTTTTCTTGTTTCCCATCCTCCCTAGAGACCAGACATATGGCCAGCACCCACTCATCCAACTTGCTTTTTATCTTTTTGTCTTGCTTTCATTTTTTCTAATTTTCTTTACTTCTCTTTACCCTTTTACTTGCTCTTCTTTTTTTTAACCCTCTTGATCTTTCTTTACTACTCTCTCTTTTTCTTTTCATCGTCCCTATCCATGGTTTTGTTTAGTGCTTGTTTTTTTCTGTGTCATTTTTATTTTCTCTTCCTTTTCTACTCTCAAGCTCTATTTTTGTCTGATTTCCACATTCCGTTGGGCCACATATCTTTGGAATGGGCAAACATGAATCTCTTCTAATCAGCTGACCACGTGCCTATCTTTCAAATGATTTGGCATATGTGAATGAGTGCCTCTAGTGCTGCATCAGTTTGTCAAGAGATTTCTATTTGTATTCCACCAAACTGAATACATCCTGGAGTTTTGTTCTTTACTAAGGCCTTCAGTGTACACTAGACTTCTTTCAGTACCATTGGCTCTTGATCATATGCTACCATTTGAAATGTTTAAGCATTGACCTTTTTTTTTTGTTGTTACAGCGATTCTGTATTCCTTCCATCTTCTTTTGATGCTTTCTGCATCATCAATATTTTACCCATAAAATCAATCCTTCAATATTGCAAGTTGAGACTTGAAATTTTCTTCAATTCTTTCAGCTTGAAAAATGCTGAACAGGTTCTTCTCTTTTGGTTTTCTAATTCCAGGTCTTTGCAGATTTCATTACAATACCTGATTGTGTCTTTTCTAGCTGCCCTTAGAAAGCTCCTATTTAGTTCTTTCACATCCTCATTACTTCCATTTGCTTTAGCATCTTGAAGATGGAGAGCAAGCTTCAGAATGTCTTCTGACATCCATTTCAGTCTTTTTTCCTTATTTCCAGTCTTCTGAATGATCAAGGTCTTATTTTCTAACTACTGATCCTTTTTTATTTCCAAGCTTTGCATTCCAATCACCAGTAATTATCAATATACCTTGACTGCATATTTGATCAATTTCTGACTGAAGAAGTTGGTAGAATTCTTCTATTTCATCCTCGCTGACTTTAGTGGTTAGTGTATGAATTTGAATAACAGTGGTATCAACTGATCTTCCTTATAGTTGTACAGGTACTATCCTATCACAGACATCATTTTACTTAAAGATAAATACTGAAATGTTCTTTTTGATGATAAATGTGACGTCATTTCTCTTTAATTTGTTATTCCTGGAATAGTAAACCATATGATTGTCATATTCAAAACAACCATTTCAGCTCACTAATAATGCCTAGGACAACAATCTTTTTCATTTTATTTTTTACAACCTACAATTTTCTGAGATTCATATATCGTACATTCTATGTATACTATCAAACATAATTGAAAACACATAAACAGAAGACAAAAGAGATGACTTGGAACGCCTAAAAATTACACATATGTGCATCAAAAGATTTTACCAAAAGAATAAAATAAGAACCTACAGACTGGGAAAAAAACGTTTGGCAATGACATATCAAACAAAGAGCTACTCTCTAAAATGTACACAACACTTCAACTCCTTAACAAGAAGAACACAATCCAATGGAAAAATGGGCAGAGGATATGAACAGACACTTCACCAAAGAATACATCCAGGCAGCCAACAAACAAATGAAGAAATGCTCGTGATAATTAGCCATTGTGTTAAGAAGAGCTGTCGAGTCAGGCGTGGCTAGTGGGTTTGAACTAACAACCTTGTGGTCAGCAGTCCAATGCTGATCCTACATTGCCACACGACTCCATTGTTGTTGTTAAGTGTTGTTGAGTCAATTCTGTCCCATAGCGACCCTGTATAGGGTTTCCGAGGAGTAGCTGGTGAGTTTGAACTGCCGACCTTGCAGTTCAAACGGCTTTGCAGTCTGGCGCATTAACCAACAGCACCACACCAGGACTCCAAGACTCCATTAGAGAGAAGCAAATCTAAACAACAATGAGATACCATCTTACTCCAGCATTAACAGCAAAGTTTAAAAAAAAAGAAAACAACAAATGCTGAAAAGGGTGTGGAGACAATGGGACCCTCCTACACTTCTGGTGGGACTATAAAATGGTGAAACCATTGTGGAAAATGGTATGATGCCTCCTCAAAAGTTGGAGGTGAAAATACCATATGACCCAGCAATCCTTCTAGTTGGTATAGATCCTCAAGAAATACGAACCATGATGTAAATAGATACATGCGCACTCTTGTTCATTATAGCACTACTCACAATAGCAAACAGATAGAGACAGGCTAAATGCTCTCAACAGAAGAACTGTTAAACAAACTTTGGGACATATACACAATGGAATACTATACAACACTGAAGAATAACGATGAATCTGCAAAACACCTCAACATGGATGAACCTGGAGGACATGCTGAGTAAAGTTAGTCAATACAAAAGGGCAAATATTGATTACTGTTATAAAAAGTTAGAAAAGGTTTTCTTGATAAAAGAAACATGTGATAATGGTAACCAGAGTGGGAGGGCGTGGGATTATTCATGGGCTAGAGGGTGTGGTTGTTAGGCGCCATCAAGACGGTACAGACTTATAGCTACCCAACATATAACAGAACAAAACACTGCCCGGTCCTGGGCCAGCCTCATAATCAATGTTACGCCTGAGTCCATCGCTGCAACCACCAGGCCAATCCACCTCGTTGAGGGTCTTCTTGTTCTCCGACCCTCCACTTTACCAAACATGATATCCTTCTCCAGGAACTGGTCACTCCTGATGATACGCCCGAAGTAAAGACAAAGTTTGGCCATCCTGGCTTCCAAGAAACACTCTGGCTGTACTTCTTTCAACATAGGTTTGGTCTTTTGGAAGATTAAGGTACTTTTAATATTTTCCTCCAACATGACAACTCAAATGCATCAATTCTTCTATAGTCTTCCTTATTTGCTGTCCAACTTTCGCATGCATATGAGGTTAATGAAAATACCATGGCTTGAGTCAGGCGTACCTTCGTCCTCAAGCTGACATCTTTGCTCTTCAATACTTTTAAAAGGTCTTGTGTAGATTTGCCTAATGCAATACGTCATTTGATTATTTGACTGCTGTTTCCATGAGTGTTGATGGTTGATGAAAGC